AGAGGTCTGGGTAGTAAGTAGTCCATAGTAGTCCAGTTAGTAAGCCCTAGGCAGGAGTCCAGGTAGTAGTCCCACTACAAAGCCCCGGGTAGTAGTAGTCCAGGTAAGTAGTCCCACTACAATGCGCTCCATAGTCCATTAGTGTGTTTGTAGTCACACTACAAAACGGATTTGTAGTCCTCAATACAGCAGAGTCTGGTCAGTTTAGGGCAGGTCAATTATACCTGCAAAGGGCACACCAGAGGAGCATGCAGGGAAACAGTTGCTGAGGGAGACAGGAGGGGAAACTAGCCCTCTGTATGCATTCAGCCATTTGAGGGGCTGACAGCCAAGGCATCCTCCCAGACCCGACTAAAAGCAGGGGTCAGCCAATGCAGACCACCACAGAATGAAGCCAGGCCAGGATTTAAATCACACCTCTTTTTAGTGATTTGGCTAGAGGCATTGGAGGTCACATGATATGTTTCTTGAAAATGTAATATTTGGTTGTTATCACATTGGGGGAATAGCAAGGGCAATTCTACATGACATCTGTTATTGGATTGACTTGCTCTCAACTTGGTGAGTCCTCTGTGGGGAGAGAGGACCATAAAAATACTGCAGGCAGACTTGGAGAGGAATGCCGGGAATTCTCTCAAGGTCTGATAGAACTGTTGTCACAATAAAATGGAGTCATTACATGGTTCATGTGGTCAAACATATAGCGCCATCACAACCATCAAGACATTATACCATGTACAAGTCATCTACATTCTCTGTCATCACAAACAACACCCTCTTCATGACACCGCAAGCCAGATTACACCGCACCAGCCTCGTTCATCACAGGTCGGTTCTTCTCGTCCGCGATTGGGGTGGCACCCGCAGCGGCAGCTCGGGCACGTCGAGCCGCAAGGTAGGAGAGAATGGTGGATGTCAAGGAGAAGAGGAATGCGATCCAGGGGATGATCGCAATCAGACGCACTATGTAGAGCGTGGGTACTGAGTATATGCGTCATCATCCGACGGACCACTCACAATAGAAAATATGCCTATAAATGGACGTCACCCCCAACTGCCTCTCCGTCGCCTGAATCACGCTCTGGTCGAGCGGGTACCCAAAGAGACTCGCGGTGACCTTCGCGTGCCCGTTGGCGAAATAATAACTGGTAGGCACGGCGGTCGCGAACAGGAACACCGTCGTGAAGGCAAGTAGATGCGCCTGGAGCGGGAGCGAGCCGAGTAGCGGCAGCGGGACGAAGGACGAGATGAGGAAGAGGAGGGACAGGACAAAGAGCAGGCCCGAGGCGGCGGTGGCGGCGCCGCCCGCGCCGAGGATGTCGGTTGTGTCGATGTTGACGACGGTGCCCGCGGGTACGCCATGCTTGATCGTGTCCTTGTCGTGGCGGGATCTGCGACGAGGGGGGGGGGCGTCAGTGATGTAGGAAAAGCGGGAGCGGGGCGACGTACTCGATGAGGGCGTGGATGCCCAGCGCGAAGCTGATGACGCCCCACGCGAACGCGAGGAAGAGCGAGAGCAGACGGAGCAGCCGCAGCGGCCCGGGCGCTGGCGTCGCCGTCCCGCGCGCCGTATTGAAAGCCATTTCGTTTGGTGTGGAGCGGGAGCAAAGGCAAAAGTCTAACAGACTCGGACTACGCGGGGCGGCAGGTAAACGGACAAGGGCGAAGAAACCCAGCCGGATGCAAACCACCGCGCTCCATATTTATACTGGCCCGCACGCGCGTCGAATCCGAAGCCGGCGAAAACGCAAGGCGAGCGCGAAGATCGTCTGACCGAGTGTGGCTTTCGACTTTTCCCTATTTGGGAGACTGTGATGACGCGTGCCTTCCCGATCGGGTCTGGTCGACTCGCCGATTGCGGGGCCCCATGGGGTCATTGGACATGTGAGCTGCGATGCGAAACACGTCTCTCGTCATCGCCGCCGCCGTCATCGCGTTCACGGAGAGCAGGACGCCGGCGGCCCCGGAGAGCAAGGCAGTAGCGCATGCGTGTGCTGTGTATTTTCGGACAGGTTCGCTCGCACGGTCGGACGCTTTCGCTCACTCTGACACCCCGCCTATCACAATCAAACATCACTCCGATCGCGCTTCGACCTTAACATTCATCGTCTCGGGCTCGGGCCAGGGCGTCAGGCCATATCACACACTCCTCGCGGTGTCGGATCCGTGTTGTGCTAGCATTGGCTTATCGGAAGAGGGGGGTTCACAAACGGGAAGACGTGACAAGGTACAGACCTCGACAGAGAGAAAATCAGTGGACGCACGTAAGTCACAAATGCAAATTGCAATGCCATACGCCAGGAGAGCACAGCGTTATCTCGACACTTGATCGGGATCACAGATGGCAAATCAGACGCACTGTACTTCACTTGACCACCTCCTCCTCTTCGTTTCATATACACAGCATACCAAACAGCCCGACTAATTATGCCCAGATCCTCGCGAAACCCGTTCATGGGCTGACCGTAGCATTTTTCTGCAAGTGTGCAGCAAAGAATTGCGCTTCCGACACCATCACAACCCCGTGAGCATCCAGACCCAATAGGTCCAGCAAAAACGCTCACACAGCGCAAATGCCGACCGCTTCGGCGTCCTCTCAAGCGTCGTCTGGTTCAGGTACTGGATCCCGAATCTACACGGCCATATGCAAGTGAGTATTGGCAACCGGTTTCATCCTTAGGGACAGCCCAAGCGTACCTGGCGGCGAAGCCAACCGTCCACTCCGCGTCGTCGATGAAAGCTAGTCGAGTCCACGCCGTCAGGCAGTCAGTCTTCATACGTGTCTCTAGGTGATATAGCGCTTACACCAAGCAAAGGCACCCATCAACGGGATGCCGTCCTCATGGATAGCCAACAACGCTTCGCCGAGGTACGTCATATAGTAATCTGAGGCATCGCATGAACACATATCGCAGACGACAAAACCGACTCACTCGTCCTCGTCACGTCCTCCGTGACAATGTACCCGTCCCACGGCGTCAGCAGCGAGTTCGACCTGCGCGCCTCCCCCGGCTCGTTGAACCCAAACTCCGATATATACTGCACCAAAGACACACATCACCCCGTGAGCGTCAGCCATCCCACCCCCAAACACCAAACACAGCACGCACGATCTTCCCCACCGGCCACCGCCCCACCAACGCCCGCAACGACCCCCTCAGATTCTGCGGCGTCGCCTGCAGCCACGACGCGCTCCACGTATCCGCGTTCGGGCCCACCGCCCACCCATCAGTATCGTACATCACCACCTCGTTGCACTGCGGCCAATTCGGGTCTGTCATGTTGTTGACGCACGCGGCGAGCCCGCCCGCGGGCGCGGCGACGTACTGCGCGCGGTAGGCGTCGATCGCGTAGAAGTCCGCGGTTCCTTGTATTATGTGTGTTAAGTATGAGGCTAGACTGGTAGGTGAAGGGGGGGCGAGCCGACCTCGGTTCTCAGCAACCTCCTCAGGCGTAAAGCGCGGCAGGAACGAGGGGGGCAGCGTGTCCAGCAATATCTGCGGCCAGTCCCCGCTCCCGTACACCGGCTCGGAGAACGCGCCGAGCTGGAACGCGGTGTGGCGCTCCACGGCCGCTTGGTCGTCGCTGCTGTCCGCGCGCCACGGCGTCCCGCTGAACGAGTCTCTTCGTTATCGCTCTTCCCCCTCGACGAGCCGGCGCAAGGACGTACATGAAGTCGTCGTTTTTGTACGCAATCTCCCCGGGCATGCCCATCGCGCGGAAGGCCTTGACGGCGGCGACGTGCGCTTTGACTGTTACCTTCGTCTTAGCATGTACGCTGACACTGGCAGGACGAATGTGGATACCCACCGAGGTTGTACGAGCATATGTACGGCGCGGTGGACGCGTTGACGCCTGGTGCGAAAGCTACTTCTATAGGCAGGTAGGTTAATGATGGACGTTCGAATGTCGGGCAGGCCACGTGCCGAATGGGTACGACGCGATCCCCGAGCAGAAAACACGGGGCTCGTTGAAAGTATACCTAGGTACGTCAGCTGTGAGGGAACATGCAACGTCGCTTGTGTAGGACTAACTGACCATGTTGTCACTCTGCCTTTGTACGCCGCAAAGACGGTCTTGGCATAGCTGCATGAAGCACGGTAAGTATTCTCTTTGTCTGCCCGTCTGTATTGAAGCGGGTTGCTAAATACACTGACTTGACGAAGTCGTCTATGATATGCGACGACGTGAACCCGCCGTAGTAGGCGAGCAACGCAAGGGGCGTGTCCCAGTGGACTGAACATTCGTGAGTAATGCAGGTATTCAGCACCGGGATGGCACGACCTACAGAGCGTCACGACCGGCTTCACTCCCATTTGCAAATGGTAGTCGATCACTACACAAGGACAGACAAAACATGGGCACACACACTCTACCCGGCAAATTTATCCACTCAACTATCAGAGTAATGCTGCAGGCCTGCTTGGTTGACCGGCGAGTCTGCCGCGCCGAACGGGTATATCCGGGCCCACGATATCCTGTCAGTAAGCACGTTCAGCACGTATAACTTAATAAAGTGGAGCATTCGATCACTCACGAGAATGAATGCGCGTTGATGCCCAGGCTGGCCATGCGCGCAACATCCACCTTGTACAAGTAGTACTGCAGACCAGTGATATCACCTAGAAAGCCGCATTAGTCGTCGGATCAGGTATATAGTAAGAAGTCAGAGTCAATACCGGTTGAGTTATCAATCGTACCCCCCGGCTGCCTGGGCGCCCAGTCCCAAGCCGAGGGACCCTTCCCATCTTCCTTCGCAGCGCCCTCGACCTGGTAAGCGGCGGATGACACACCGAACAGGAAACCCGCCGGCAAGGTAAGGTTGGGCATGATATTCGCCGGCTCGGGAGCGAACCACGAAGGGTAGAGAGCCGGAGGGGGAGAAGGAAGGACGTCCGGGAGTGTGGGCTCCACCGTCGTCGTGATCGGCGGTGTCTCGACCGGACCAACCTGGGTGTACGTAGCGTGAGCATTTAAATCGGCAGGAGGCGGCTTGAATGAGGTCTTACCAAGTTCCATAAGCTTTCCCATCCCGCAGGACTATAGTCCCTCGGGATGAAGCCTACCGCAGGGAAAGAAGGCGTGGGTAATGGCACCCCAGTGGGAACAGCAGCAGGGACTGAGGCGACGGTACCACCATTGACCGATGTCACAGTTGCGCTGATGAGCTAACTCAGTGAGTGCAGTGGCTTCGACACAAAACACATACATATGAGCCCCAACGATATCGATGGCTTGCAAGGCGGCTAGAATGGCAATTAGTGCACTCATAACAAAGAGCCGTGCTAATTTGCAGGAGGCGCTGAAGTGACGTCCGCAATTTCTGTCGGTTTATATATATTCGATACGGGGCTACATAGCACCGTCGGGTCATTCTCTGGACTGGCGCCTATGCAAGTTAAATTCCGTCGGATCCGGAACCGTTGAAATAGGCGTGCTGAGGGCACAGTGCTCGCGTGGTGTGACCTTTCTTCAAGGTGCACGTTAGTGCATCATTCGATGTGTACGTGACACCAGGAGTGCAAGGATGCCAACGCCAGGGAGTATTTTCATTTGCTCGCAAGCTGATGATTTGGGATACCACCTTCAGCGCGGGCTTCGTTGAACGTCGTCTCGCTGCGGCCAATCTCATGATTGAAACCTATCAATCTAGGAATCAGGTCAGAACGAAAGATGGTGGACTTCATCGAGTTCACGACCAATTGCGATCAGCTTCATCTTCAAGTTCGCACCAACCATAACCTAGACATAAGATACATGGTACAAGTTACGTACCTCCTCTATAAAGCCCTCGAGAATAGTCGCTCCCAAGGGTGAGGATATCCGTGGCCTTCGAGAATAAACAGAGTTATGCGATCCTCACGTCATCCTCGCATACCCATATGCAATGGCACGCGGCGGATATCTAGAAGAACAGCATCTGCATCATCTCTCTCCATCGTCCCAGCTTCGCCAAGGGGGACGGCTTCAATTTTTTTAAACTCCTGTGTGACTGCCTGTCGACCAGCATACTTGTGAGTATCGCTTAGACAGGAGACATAGCTCACCTGGAAGAGTGTGCGCCGCACCGATCCCGAGAAAACGCTCACAGAACACTCGATGCTAAACGAAGCAATTAGCCGGCTGAACGCACTCTGTCGCCATACGAACCGGCCAGCAATCTTCCAGAACCAGTGGGTGATATACCCAGTAGAGATAGCTGCATCCTGTGTATTATTCAAATCTAATGTAGAAATGATACGAATACTCATGATATTGATCCCGGAGCGCTTCTCAACCCTACGGCCGAGCATGTCAAAGAAACTTTCGTAATCTGTCGAAAGAACGCGGATATGAACGTTACGAACGTAGACCGTGCAAATACAAACCGACACTGAAAGAAGGGAATTAAACCGGAACGTCCCCGCGTCCCTGCAGATGCCTTCACTCTTCGTCCTCCTCCCCTTCTCCGACGGGGTAAAGTTCCTCAGGTTCTCTCTCCTTCGCATACTCATACCCCACAAAATTCAACACGCTACCCCCAAATTAGCACTCCCACACATCAAAGAAAGCAAGAGCGCTCACTAAATCGTCCCGTCCGCACATCCCACCACGACCTCCTCGTGGCTCAGCTGCATGCTCATCGGGTTCTTCTCCGGCTGCGCCAGTCCCGTGAACTTCGGCGGCAGCGTGCCCAGCAAGCCCCTTACGTCCACACCGGCCCCGCTGTACTCCGCCAGCGCGCCCCACGCACCCGTCATCGCCGTCACCTCGCTGTCGATGTCCACACTGGGGGCGAGCGACAGTCGCGGGCGGCGTGTCGGCGAGGACCTAGAAGACTCGGACTCGGAGGAGTCGTCAGACACGGTGGGCGCGGGCGGGTGATCCTTGTCCTGATGCGTTGACATGAATATCTACATCCGCCATGCACATCAGTATCAGCATCCCGTTCCATAATTACAGAGTGACTGACCCTCCGATCAGCCCCCGCCCTCGAGCTGAACCTCGTAGCAGTAACAACCCTCCTCTTCCTCGGGTCCACAGCGCCAATCGCCACATCAGGCGTCTCCACAATGCCCACCAGCTTCGGCGGCGCAGTTAATATCGCCGCCCTGCCGAACCTAACCGCAAACCCGCCATTCCGTGCACTGTTCGGCGTCGATGCCCGGGGCGAGGGTGCACCCGGCGACAGGGTGCTCGAGGAATTCGTACTAAGAGACAGGCGCGATTTTCCCGAGAACGCAGAGGGGGGCCCGGAGCTGGAGACGTTCAGTGAAGACTTGCGCTGTGGGCTGGAGAGAGACGAGGTTGAGCGCGACAACGCGGAGACTGTGCGCAGACGCGGGTTGCCCGGGCTCAGCATGGGCGATTTAGGCGTCAGTGGTGTGCTGGGCTCGGCTGGGGTTTGCGATTGCGGTTCTTCTCCCTCGGTCCACTGTAGATGTAATATCACAGACTTTGTGGCACACTGTAAGAGTGTAGAGGTTAGTGAGAGTCTGACGACGGACGTGAAAAGGCTTACCGTCATTTGCGTGCCCTTCGCCGCGAACCATCTAAAGTAATCCAAATGCGTTCGATGTATCGAACAACGCAGCATAGAGAGAAACGACGCACTGAAGCATGTTATCCGGCGCCTTGCCCACATGGAATAGCTTCGCATTCAACACAGGGTCCGAGCCCCCCAGCTCGGACAACTTAAACTGTGACACCATCTCCCTCCGCCCTGCACACCGCATCAGCCCCTCTTACCCACATACACCAACGCATGAACACACTCACGTATGGAAAATACCCTGACAATCCCATCAATAGTGACACTAACCACACGCTCGCCCTCCTCGCTCGCCTCGTTGCCCACGAGCTGCACCCCGATGTTCACCGTCGTCTGCTGCCCGAATCGCACGATCTTCGTGCCAGCGCGCCAGTCCCAGCACACTAGCGCCTTGTCTGCGCCCGCGGAGACGAGGTTCTTCGAGGTCAGCGCCACGGCGCGGATGCCGTTCAAGTGGCCTGCGAGTTGTTGGAGGGGCGTGAACGTCAGGGAGGAGAAGAGGTGCACACGACTGGAAGGGGTGTCAGTTGGGGTCCGGAGGATGATGAGTGGGAGAGCATTACCCGACGTCGTGGAACCCGACCACGAACACCTCTGTAAACTCATTAGTACAAGTTACATAGCATGTACTCCGGGAAAGGCTGACCTTCTTCGGCGAGGAAGTCGACGCAGCTCACAGGCTTCTTCACCTGGAGGCATTTCTTCATCTCGCCTGTTTCCACATCCCAGAATCGGATGGTCTCGTCATACGATCCACTGATAAGACGTTTCCCTACGCGAACTGTGAGCACCTCGTCGGCGTGCATTTGGATCAAAGATGAATTACCTCGTAGGAGTAATGTAGTGCAGTAGTTGGTATGACCAGTCAAGAACCTGATCGACTGAGGCAGGGCGTTCTGGAAGTTGGATTCGCGATGGTGTAAGGACCGGTATAGAGGTTCCCTGATTAGGATCAGTTAGGTTACATGGTTTATGGTGGTTGAAGTGACGACTGTATCTCCTTACCAGCCCTCAGGTTTGGCAGGAGGTTTCAGAGGCACGGGGTCGCTCGCAGTGATCCTGAGGCAGTGATACCTCCAGAGCGCCGGCAGGTGCACCATCTGCTGCCATTTCTTGGAGACCTAAGGAGGAAGATTATTCAGTAAATGTCCATGGTAGACCCACGAGTAAACGCACAGGCTCAACGGCGAGTAGCTCCTTGACACTCAGCAGCTTCAGGATCTTGAACGCAAGGTCGGGTGCTAGATTGCCGACGATGTCAAAGGTCGACTTGGCGTACTTTTCCAGAAGCAGGATCTGAAGGCGTATATCACCGGGCATGCATGCTGTATGCGTCAAAAGTATCAATAGGAAATTCGAAAGAGTGATGCGAGCATGTGCGAGAAGACGTACAGTCCAGGATAATTGCAATACTGCGTAGAGGACGCGTCAGCTTTCGTTACCAATAACGAGAAACCATGAAGACAAGAGCCCATGAGCAATGGAAGATGCTCATGGGTGTTCTCGCCCCCTCGTCTCTTATGAAAGTAATGGACGTACAGCCGCATCCTCTCATCCCGGCTCAGCCCTCTGATAGCCTTCTTCACCTCCGTTTCATTGAACTGGCCCTGGCCATCCCCTCTCAGCGCCCGCAACAAGTCCACGTCGTCATCTTCGTCGTCTCCATCTTCCCCACGCCAGCCTGCCCAGTATCCACCCTTCCTCTTTTTCCCGCCACACGTGCAATACTCGTCCTCGTCGCCCACGAACAGCTGCCGAGAGACGCCAGACTCGCCTCCCTGGTCGCGCAGCATGCGCACTTCCGCTTGGAGCGCGTGCAGCTGCGCAGCGGCTGCTGCCTGGGCCCGCTCCAGGAGGCGCTTGTAGTGCAGGATCTTACGCGTATGGAGGGTCATGACCGCGTTGAGAGCGCTTTGCATCTGCGATTCAAATGTCAGACACACATGACAGAGCAAATATCGTAAAATCCAAGGCGTACATCTTCGTCCACCTGGCCGTCGTTCACGTCCGTCAACAACTCAAGCGTCATATCGTCACCGTCCCACATGGACATCATCGCGTCCGCATCCTCGTCCGCGCTCTCGAGCTTGATGCTCGGCGACTGCATCGACGGGAACTTCATCCTCTCGCGGAGCGACGCCGGGGTCTGGTTCGCAGGGCTCCCGTTGCTCAGCGGACTCGCCAGGACGGACCTGCCAGACGGGTGCCGGGAACTGGGCTGCCTATTCCCCGACTTGGGTGTGTTTTGCGCTGACCCCGTCTTTCTTGTCGGGGTGACATTGGGCGTAGTATTCGAGCGCGACGGGCCCTTGGGCGTAGACGGGACCGACGCGTTGCCCTTGACGCTTTGGTTCGCCAGGCTGATAGACCCTGACGAGGGCGATCGTTTCAGCGCCTTCGGCTGCGCGTTTGAGTTCATAGACGCGACTCTGGACCGTGACTCGGGCGGGGTTACGGGCGATTCACTGAGCGAGAGCGAATCTGTGGAATACATAGATATAGATCGGGCGTTGCGGGACGAGGTCATGACAGAGGGAGAAGGTCGCGAAGGTGTCATAGGCGGCGCGCTGCCCTGGCGCAGAGACGACCGTGCTAGAGGCGACGGGGAACCATTAGAATGCAGCGGGGAGGTGGACATGGAGTCCGACGTGTCCCTCCTGGAAAGGGTGGGGAGAGGTGCCGACGTCCTTCGCGATGCGTGCAAAGAGGGGATAGCGCTGGAAATGCGCTTGGAAACTATCGACGCGGCTGGCATCGGCGTCGCATTGGGGGAACGCGCGGTAGACTTGTTGTTCCCCGTCACCGTCGTGCTCCCGCTCGCACCGCTGACGTCGCTGGCTAGGGACGCATTAGACGACGCCCTCGGCTTGCGTATGCCAGACTTCGAGGTGCCAGTGACGACCGTAGCGGAAATGGACGAAGATCGCGTGAAACGCGTCGATGTTTCGGAGGGGCCGGTTGCGCTACGTGGAGCCATGTTTGCCTTGCTGCTTGTCTCGAAGCCTGAAGCCCCCTTGCCTGTATTCCGTGTTCCCTAGACGAGCTTGGGACCTGAAGTATAGGCTAGTCAAACAAATGTACAACCCGGATGACTTACGAATAACCCTCCGGGAGCTCTCCTTCACTGATCGGCGGGCAGCCTGCGACGCCCTTCCGCACCTGCGAAGGTAGTTCCAGCCACACTCACTTTCCTTGCAACAAAGCTCAAGCAAACGTAACAGCGGTTATGGGAAGATGGACAGAACGGTATATTATTGTCGACGTCGTCGTTGTCAATCTCAACCTACACGTGGGGGGAAACGCCCACAGTTGTACGTATATGTACGTGAACTTGCCATATCCGGAATACTTCCGGTACGTACTACTTCTTGTCTTTCGCGAGGAGTACTACGGCTGTGGCTACTAGAGGACTGGGAGAGAACCTGCAGGTCAGCAAGTTTGCATGATGAAGCTGTAGCGCGTGCGGCGTACTGACACGTGCACGCGACAAGGAAGGAGAGGTGAGCGAAATATTGAAGGTCTCGCGATGAAGGAGCTGTTTCGAGTCGCTCAGACCTCCCAGGAAATAAAAAAAATCAAGAGATATATATTAGTGTGCCATAGTATTTGGGACCGAATACAGCAAGTATACACATTATGAGAGGAAAATCAGTAAGACGAGACTCAGTCTATCAAGAGCATGGAAACACCTGAGCGATGCCCCGCGTCCACGATTACTCGAACGGATTGCGCCCTTCAGCTATGGCCTTCCGTATGTCGTCCGCCGTCCAGAAGAGTTTCTTCTTCTTCTCCGGCAGTGGGGCCTTACCCATCCTCTCACAAAGGTTCTCGAGAGCCTTCCTCTCCTCCTCCAAGGCGCTCGCCCACTTCTCGGGCTTCAAGTCATGCTTGAGCAGTGCATCTTCGAAGTCGCACAGCCGGACATTGTTCACCTCCACGTCCTCATCGCTTCCGACGTTGTCCTTGAACAAGATATTGCGGTCCGCGACGGCCTTGTGGAGTACCCCCGCCGTCCAGAGCTTCTCGTAAGCAGCCTTGACGGCCGCCTGTGCTTCTTCGGACCAGCGAGTCATCCGCGGACGCCCGTGGCAGGTCGTCACCAGCATCCGGCACACGACCTGCTTCTTGCTCCTGACCGACGAGGGAGGATCGGCGCTGGAAAACCCAGAGAACAGCAGTTTCGGCACGACGTCCTTCAGCTCCTCCTTGGCGTTCATATACTTGTAGACCTTCGTCTCCTGCTCGATCTTGTTGTCGTTCAGCGGCGAGGGCTTGAAAGCCGCGCGCTCGCCCCAGGTGAGCATCGGGTGCGGCGGGTAGTTGCCAAAGCGGACAGAAAAGCCTGTACGCGTGATACCCAGCACCGACCCAGGGTTGGGCTGCATCGTGTTAGCCTCGGCGCATATGGCCGCGTCCATAGGGAAAGAGGGCGCCAGGCGGTGTTCTTCCCGGTACCCACTGACAGTGGACGCTCCCCAAGCGGTCAGAAGGAAAGGGTAGACATGCGAAAGATCTCCAACAGCAGAGGGGTACAGAATAGAGGACGGCAGGGGCATCCGGCGGGCAAAGCCTGCAAGATATGCGCGGATGGGTATGAGGTGAAGACGGATATTCTGGCATGCTTACCCGCATCACAAAGAGCGTCGGAAAGAGGGCTGACCCACGCTATAGTTTTATCTGTTTCCGGTACCTCTGTGCTGCCCCTCAGAGGCCCGTCATCTGCCTGAGGCTGAACGTGTATCAGGCTGCTGCGTCATTGGCGAATGATACTCGGACGTAAGTGACTCACATTCACCAGCGGAACCGGAGCTTTGGCCTTCGAGCTGGCAGCTTGGACTTTCGATTTCGCTTTCTGAGCTTGCTGCGCATTCACCTGCGCGCTGTCCTTCAAAGCCGCTTTCTCGCGGAGACGCGTCGAAGATCGGACGGGTTTCTTTTCGGTGTTTTCTGTGTTTTTGCGCGGAGCCATAATAAACGTAGCGTAGGAAATAGGTTGGACAGATGTCTGTAGTCCGCAAGATTGTGTCGAGGGAGAAAGGCTGAGAAAGGTAGCTGGTCAATAAGTGGCGCAGCTCGGCTAATCGTTGCCGTGACGCGTGCGCGTTGTAGTCACGTGGACTCTGCTACCAGTGGGTCACAGTCACAGTCCGTGTTCCAACTGGCAGTGGCACTCTGGAGTCTGCAGCCGTGAGGCTGAAGGCTTTTGGAAGGCTTTAAGAAGCGGCTTTCCAGTCTAAAACCGCTGTACATGGGGACTTATCTCAAGGGTGCCTCTGAGACGACGCCAGCTACCTGGATACTCGGGAGACCGTGGACTGAATAGCGGCGCTGGTGGCGTCTCGCTGATTTCGAAGAAGAAAACGCTGAGTAGTAAGCAACTGCACCCAGTCTCTTCTACAGACGTCAATCTTGCGGACGTCCTTCGTTCAAAATGGGGACTTTTCCGGGACGTGACTGCACCCGGCGCGGATGAATTCCAGCTGGACACAAGGAAGCTGGCGCGGGTGATTACTCCTGGTCTTTGGCTCAGAATAAAGCCACGAACACCTATGAATCAAGGTCGACAACTTGAGCGGACATGCGTAGGCAGGACATCAGTGTTCTCGTGTTCTCATCGCGCAGCTCGTCTTTCTATTTCATGTCTCCGGGTCTTGTGCATGGTCCCTCGCGCACGGTATGCGTATGTGATGCCTACGCCGTGATCTCGGATCGGTGTCGTATGCTCCTAGAGAGCCGCCTGATATACCGATACGTTGTTCCCATGCACTGCGACGCTTGCTCGCCCCCGATGCCCTTAGTAATAACACGCTCGACGCTGCTGCACATACCCTGGGTGGAGCCGAGTGTGACCACTTCCTGCTGTCTCTGCGCTAGTACAGCTCATCTATCTGATTTCGCTACCTTGCGCGCGGCATGTTATGG